TTACATTGGTGCCGACCCTACATAAAATCATTAATAAATAATCAAGAGAACAAATTTAAATGTATACGATACCTTTGCTACTACTCGACAAACTTACACGACATAACAACAAAATAACATAATTAAATAATATTATAATAAAACAATCTATAATCTAGCCACTCACGTACTGCGTGACGCGCTTGTTTCGGGTTGTCTCATAAAAGAAAAAACGGCGCGTTCTACTGCAGGTGCGAGGGGCAAATTATAGAGAGTATGACATTCATAAAGTAAAATATATATATAATAATATTCCATGATGGGCCGTCTAATCAGGCCAGCATACGTCAGAAGACCAGAGAAATTCAGTAAGCTTTGTTTTGAAAATAGAAATTTTCTCAGTCTGTCTAACATAGGCTGGCAGTGCATTCCACAGAAGCATTGTTCTATAAAAGAAGCTGTTTCTGAAACTATCGCAGTTTGGTACAATAGAGCAGGTATATGTGCTGGTGTCAAGTCCTTCAATGACTGATGCCGTGCTCCTTGTGTACCTCATTGTTCCAGCTTCAACAACAGTAATATATTCAGGTAGAGATATACTTACCAAATCATTTACTATTTTATAGAAGAGCGTTATTGAATTATGGATGAACTTAGATCTCACAGTGGGCCGCAAAGGGGGGTCATGATAGTTTAGGCATGAAGGAATGGTCTGATTGGCCATATATACTGTTCTTAAGGATTGTTTGGCCCAAAAAGTCGTTTAAAGACATTTTCAGAGCTCTAGTGTCATCACAAACAAAGTTATTTCGATATTTTGAATTTTCCGAATTTTCAACATTTTCATACGCAGACCCTTTATATCCCTATAATTGATGTTTAATGCGGAATTCTGTGCAGGATGATCTTTTCCAGTGGTAATACGATCAGAGAAGGGTGTTTTTTGATCAACTTTATGTAAAAGGAAGCCAATTCAATGCTCCCCAACCCGCAAACACGCGCACATAACGCGCGCGCTTTCAGGAGTTTAATCCACTATTTACTTGGTTTGAAGTAACCAAAGAGATGGTTATATGTATACATTTGGGGATAAGATAAGATAGCTGGAAGGAGCTTCTGAAACTGAATTGTGTCGCTCCATAAGTTGTAGACACCAAACTGCAAACTCAATTTTAATTAGCTTCTAGAGTAGATTTTTTCACTCTCGCCCCAGTGAAAATCAGTTTTTCTGGATTTTTTCCAAAAGTAAGCATTTTGGGCCTTCATGACCTTTATAGTGTCAATATAAACATGTGCATTGCGGTCATTTTAGGCCAAAGTTTGAGTCTCTAAGACCTTCAGAAGCTGAGATACAGATTTCCCATATATGCGCGTAATGAAAAAAATGGGCGTGGCCCCCACAGGGTTGGGAATAGCGACACAACATGTGCCGTTCGGTGAATTGAGTTACAAATGACCTATTTAACCCGATTCAGTATCAAAAAACTCTATACATCGAAGTGCACACTCAACCCCTCCCTTTTACTAGAATATTGCTTATTTAGCGCCAGGAAAATACACCAAAATGAGAGCAAACTGGGGATTTTGAAAAATTCATAAAATGCAAAGCCAGATCCAGCCACAACCATTCTTGGTTGCATTTGTTAGGAAATTGTCAGTACTTAATGATAAAAGTGGTTTTTAGTGGGCACTAGAAGGCCCTAACAACTATTTCTGGTCTTGAAACTGTGAAAAGATGTGAAAAAGAGGGTCTAAATTTGCCTCTGCGCGTAAATTTTTCCTAATCAAGAGGCATGATAAGGCCTATTTCACCAGAAAGATCATCCAAAACTGTTCTAGAAGGTATTAAAATAATCATTAAACCTTATTAGGCCATTTTTCTGAGACACAGGCATTTAGTGGCCATTTTCACTGCCAAAATTGATTTTTTTGGCAGTCAAAAAAATGTCTATATTTGGCGCGCTGCCAAAACTCAACATTTGAACATTTTTCAATTCGGTTTTTTGCACTTTATGTGTATATCTATTTACTAGGAGATGAGATAAAGAAAATGGGATTTAAAGAAAGTCGATTTTTGGCCTAAACTATCATGGTGGCCCACTGTGGATCTAATGGGTAGAATTTTAAGCTCCTTCTGCTTCTCATAGAATACAATATCACTATAATGATCAAACTGTTGTCCATTGATCCATTTGATCGCTCTTTTCTGGATTGCCTCAAACTTCGACATGTGTGTCGATCGCTGAGGACACCATATAACTGAGCAATGTTCAAAGATTGATCTTACAATGGTAAGGTAGAAAGCCCTCTTTTGGCGTTTATCCATGGTAAAATGACAGGTTCTCTTTAAGAGCCCAAGCTTCGAGCTTGCTTTAGATATCAATTGATCACAATGTGCACCCCACAGAAACCTGTTGTTCATTATTACACCAAGATCTGTATGGGATGCCACATAATCAATTATGACTTCATTAAGATTATACCAATAAATATTAAAAGGAAGATTGTCTAATACATTTCTTTGCAGAGTTACAGATAACACCTTACACTTTGAAGGGTGAAAAGTCATTTTGTTATCGATTGACCAGGCAAACAACCTGTCTATATCTCCTTGGAGAATATAGTGGTCTTCAAAGCATTCGATGACCCTCCAAATTTTGGTGTCAAAATTGAACTCTTCAGTATTCGATGATTAAAACAATTGTTTTAAGAACAGAGTAGTTTTAAAGCTAAACATTCGCAATTTGTCTTAACAGGAGTCTTGGGAGAATTATAAAAATGAAATTTAAACGTTTTAGCGGCGCATGAAGCCCGCGGCGTCCGCTGGGGTGTATAGACACGCCGATTGAAGATAATATTTTTTGATCCCAGCAGCTTACAGTCCCAAATCAACAAACTGGTAGAATATCTATGCCCATTCTGCTATGTAGCACCAATCCCAACCATAAATCATGACCTCGACCTCTGCCATGTCTGTATAAACACACTCACGATCCAGCAAGCCAACAGTGTTCATGAAATAGGAATAGCAAGTGAGAAGCTGGAACAAATGGCATCATTTGGTGACCTGCTCAACAAAGTGAACTTTGACAACCTCAAAGATGGACTATTGGCCATACAGAACCTTGAGCTGCATGTTCAACATATATTAATCAGTGAGGAAGGTCTGAAGCATCACCAAAACAAAGTGAGTTAGATAGAGGAACATATGAGCGAAATTGCTAAGCAAAAAGCATCAGAGGATGGTTCAATCACTGACATGGTAAAACAGACACATCAGTTGGTTGAACAACTCCAGAAGATCAGTGATAAGCCGGAGGTAACATCTCACAAGAACGAGGAGCTAATGAAAAGGATCGAAGACAAGCTCCGGGCACTAACCGAAAGTGAGACAACTTTTCAGACCCAACTTAACAGTTTAGGTAGTCAAATATGTGGCTGAGAAACACTCTCCTCCACCACATACTCTCTTACAACCTGACCAGCCTACCCCTCATATAGCACATGACCAGGTGCCATGCCTGTAACGGAAATCAAGCCAGATTTCATTCTGTCAACTGAATCTGATAAAATTACTGCCTTTCTTCAGTCATGTTTTCAGAATTACAACTATTGTGTACTCAATAAAGTAATTATCACTTTTGTATCCTTGTATCCTTGTATCCTTGTATCCTTGTTCCTTCGAATCAGAGAACGGTCACTCTGTCATTTCATTTGGCAATACCTACCACTACACTGGTTCTAAATCTTCAAAAAATGTTCCACCGATTCCTGAGGAACTTAAACCATTATTTGATGAAATGAACAAAGTACAAACTGAGCTGTACAATAAGTGCTACCCGGAGCAGCCCCACCTGACGGCCCCAGTTAGGAAATATTTGATAAAACTTGGAAATATTCTACACTTACTTGTGTAACAAGCCCACTTACACTTTTCACTGAAAAGGAATATCGTTTACTTTGTCCTCTCTACTGTCTATGAACTATGTCTACTATTTAATGAGAGTATAGAAGATGAGGCATGCTGTCATTATAAATTTGTTGTTTTCTTGATAATACTGGTATCTTTTGCTTTGCTCGGTTTTACTGATCATGTAAAAAATACAATAGATTCATCTCGGGCATGGACATAAATAATGATGTTATTATATGCTGCACTAATAGCAGAAGGAATATATTATTCACCTTGCTTTAGCTCATTATCTTCTGACATGGAAATCAGGTTCTACTATCTTTACATGGTTGTCACCACTGTGCTATTCCATGATTTATGTGCAAATAGTTTCCATGGGAGTGGTCCTTGTTTTTTACTTTTTAGCCTACCTCTCGCAATACCTTAACAGACATGATAAGTACAACATATATCGCTGTTGGGAATTTAGCTACCGTGTTATTCTTTTATTTTCGGCACTCGATAATAATAATAATTTTTGTTAAATTTATGCTTATTTTGTCGAATTCTACTAGATGTTCTGGTAGTCATGATTTAACTACAAAAGTACATGATTCATTAATTATATCCCTTTTTGTTTGTAATTTATTTGTAATGATATTGATAATAAAAATAAAGGTTTAATTACGATTTTGAAAATCTTGAACCTCTAAAAATCAAGGTCCAAGATTTTCAAAATTGAATTAAAAATCTTTAAAGGCCTATCTCAAAATTCTGGCTCTAGAGTTCTCTTCTAACTGATCCTAAGAACATATCCTGAAAGTTTGAGGGTGATTGCTCAAAAAATGTAGGAGAAGATAGATTTTTAGACTCGATTTTCAGAACGCGCGATTGAAAATCGCTCATGCAATACAATTACACATAAGCGCTGACCTTTGACCGGCGATAATTTCGGCTAGGAAAAATATTTTTCCATGGGACCAAAAGCAGCTGATAGATATCACTCCCCTCTATCAGAAACAACTATAAAGTCGATTTCGAGAGAATTTTGATGAAGACCCCCCCCCCCCTGGCCCCCTTAATTATTATTACATATAAATTATCAAATATTAATATTTCATTAGTTTAGGAATGAAAATAAACAGTCTCTAAAATGCTTGGAATAACAAAGAAACTTTCTACTCCTCTACAGCTTGGATCCAGGTAGCAAATATTTTAAAGTTCTGTTTTAAATGATGTATAATTTGTATTTCATGAGATATTATTATAATCATCGATACTTAATTTTAGTTAAATCCCTCAATGCTATTTCAAAAATCTAAGATCAACTTTAATGGAGACTCAGACCCATGGATAATTTCATCTACCTAACAAAAAACTTTCATTTCTCACTTGTTCGTGTACAGGTGTATATTCCATTTCTCACTTGTTCGTGTACAGGTGTATATTCCGATGGAGTGGAGCCAACCTGGAGAAAGCCATGGCACCGGATCCAGAGCAGGGTTTCAGGCGTGACCATCCCCAAACCTTCGACTCTGCTGAGTGGGCCATCCCAGAGAATGAGATTGTGGGTTTTTTAAATTATTGTTTTCGTAAATTAAGAACGTGTTAGCAATATATTATTATACAGGATGGTCTATAATTAACACGATGTACAATTTCAAATTTCATTAAAAGTTATCGTATTTTTTAAATATTGCTTTTTTTCTCTCTGCATTATCACAATTATAATCCAGCCTGATAACCTGATTAAAACAACAACCAACTTTGTTACAACTGCAGGACATGGCTGTGCCTCAGTACAAAGCACCTGATGAGCGATTGTTGTCCATTAATTTTGGTCCACAGCACCCTGCTGCGCACGGCGTACTGCGCCTCATGTTGGAGTGTAAAGGAGAGGTTTAATTATAATTTTATACATTACGTTTGATTCAATTTTTGCAAGTGTTTGGTTTTAGATTCATATTTAACAAAGTAACAAGTATTTAGTTTCGTTTTGATTTCTAGCTTTTTTTATTAAATACTTTTCAAATTTTACAGAGTACAGCAATAGATGAATATAAAATAGAATCGTTCAAAATATCGCCCCCATCTGTAAAATATGATGGGCACCCAAACACGGTAAACACATAGTGAACTATGTCCGCAGTAACTTGGACCCATTACATCGAATTAATCTAAATCCAAAAATTTATGAAAAACTATTTAATAACAAACAAATCCATGGTGAATAACTGTGGATGTAGAGTCAAAATTGGTAATTCAATACGTCAAATTCCAGATACATTAGATACAGGTCTGAAATGGTCATTAATGTGTGAGAAGGTGTGCGGGTGAAGTGTGATATGATGTTGAAAGTATAGGAAGGTAGATAAAAAAATTAATAAAACAAAAATAATAATAATATGGGGAGCAAAGAGACTAGGCTAGACTGTTGTTTCACTATCCAATAAACATTTCCATAGATGCTTAGTGACTTCAGCTTTGAAAAGACTAGTAGACACAATCTGTCTTACCTGTAAAGGGAGTCCATTCCACAGTATATGGGTTCTGTAGAAAAATGATTTTGCCAGTGGGCTATTTAAGGTACATGTGGTGTGTGAATTCTGACTTAACTTAGGTAAAATTGATGACACAATAGACAGACTGTCGAGGTGGCAACGTCTTAGTCGAGAAGTGCCCTGATATAAAGAGAGATAGTGAGGCAGCGATACAGGAATTAAATTGTTAAGAACTTTGTGGAAAAAAATAAGATCATTCAAGTCAAACTTTTGAGACAAAGGGAGAATGTCGACAAGCTTGCACTTTTTGACATATTGCTCAGGTGGATAACTGCGGCCCTCTTCAGACAGAATCCATTTAATAGCTCTCTTTTGGAGACTTTCTAATTTATCACTAAGTGATTTATTACAAGGGCGCCAGATTATGGAACAATTTTCGAATTGGCTACGAACCAGGGAGAGGTAAAGCGCCCGGCGACGTTTCTGATCAATGACAATATGGCCATCTCTTCTGACCATACCAAGTTGTTGGCAGGCCTTAGTATAAATTCTGTCGCACTGACTATTCCAACTTAGCTTAGGAGTAACATCGACTACAAGATCTTTTTCTAACTCTACATACACAAGAGGAGAGCCATCAAGATTATATGCGAATGGAGGAGATAAAGATGGTTTTCCTGAAACAATAAGCACTTTACATTTTGCTGGATGGAATCGCATTTTGTTTCTTAGTGCCCAGTCAGAGAGATAGTCTATATCCATTTGTAAATTAGTATTATCAGAAGATGAATGTATTTTACGCCAGATTTTTGTATCATCGGCATACAAAACAATATCAGTATTATCCGAAAGGCCAAGAGGAATATCATTGATAAGCAATACAAAAAGTAAGGGACCAAGAATAGAGCCCTGGGGGACACCAGAATTAACTGAGAGGGTAGATGACATCTCATTACCAATAACCACTCTTTGGTAACGGCCTTGAAGGTAATTGGTAAGAAATTTGAGAAGTGTACCATCAATGTTATATAAGGTCTTTAGCTTATGAAGAAGGATATCATGATTTACAGAATCAAATGCCTTAGCAAAATCAAAATACACAACATGATTGATAATGTTTTCGTTAAGAGACAATGCCAGGCTATCACAAAAGTCAACCATATTGGTTGTGCATGACTTGTGCTCTAGAAAACCATGCTGCCTGGGATCAAGAAGGGTACTTGTCAAAGAAAGCATTAAAATATTAAGTTTCACTTTCCCTTTCAGCAAGTTTTCAAAGCAGATCCACACATTGGCTTACTGCACAGAGGAACTGAGAAATTAATAGAATACAAAACTTACACTCAGGTGAACTGACACGTGGAGTAAAAGCCTTATTTTGTTTTCCAATTAAAAAACTTTTATTCGGTTATATAATATAATCGCCGCCTTGATATAATATTTGCTTCTGAATTTATTAAATTTGACAGTCAATAGAACTTTTCAATTTATAACCCTAAAACCCTCAAGCAATGATAACGGTATCCCCAGGCTTTACCGTATTTTGATCGTCTCGACTATGTCTCAATGATGTACAACGAATGGGGCTTTTGTCTAGCAGTTGAGAGGATGCTAGGTATTGAGGCTCCAATCCGAGCCCAATACATAAGAGGTAAACTATACAATTACATGAATACAGTAACTGTATAATTAACCTGTACAATTATGCAAACAGTCACTTTGTCCCCGACCCCGCCCAATGGCCAATACTCCAATATAATCTAATGTTAAATGTACCCTGAAACTTCATTTCGAAGGTTAAAAGTTAAGATCGTTACCGATTAGAATTCCATCTGCCTTATCTTTCAGCAGATGTAAGAAATTATTTGATGCTCAAATTAGTTAATTACAAGTTAATTAGTTAATCGATATTAAACCAGATACCTCACTTCTCAGTGCTGATGGGTGAGATGACACGAATCCTGAACCACATAATGGCCGTTACAACTCACATTTTGGACGTCGGAGCGACCACGCCCTTCCTTTGGCTATTTGAGGAGCGGGAGAAGATGATGGAGTTTTACGAGCGTGTCAGCGGAGCTCGATTACATGCCGCATACTACAGAGTGGGTGGTGTTGCACAGGTACCGTGTAGTCTATGTTTTATTTTTACTGTTGTACTTTCGGCGCTTGTTAATTGGCCCGTTACGATGTAGTCATATTGCTGTTGGGTAAACTAAAGTATAATAGGTATCTAGATAAAAAAGAATATACAAAAAGTTGCGTAACGTTGCCTGTTGGCGCCCCCGCTAAAAAAGCGCCCCCCTGTTGGCGCCCCCTCCCCTTTTGGCGGGGCCCTTTGTTACGCCACTGTAAGAAAACCTTTTATGTTTGCAGGATCTTACACAGAAATTATTATGGGTTGAAACCTTCATGATGTTCTTCTTGCCTCCACACATGCTCCCAACATTTATAACAATTTAGATGCAGCATAATTAACCTGATGTATTTTACAGGACCTTCCAATCGGTTTTATGGATGACGTGTATGACTGGATGAAGAACTTCAGTGAGAGATTGGACGATGTTGAGGAACTGGTCACGTACAACAGAATCTGGCGATCAAGAACAGTGGGAATCTGTCCCATCACACTGGATAATGCACTTTCCTGGGGCATGAGGTAAAAAGAACATTCTGGTACTTTTAATTGAGTTCGCAACTATCTTCCTCCAATCCCTGATGGTTCAGCAATTACTTATTTGTTGGAATTCATGTTGTTTGTTGCCACTGAGACATTAGTAAAATATCTGAAAAGTACTGCTGAGCGCGATTGCCAATCGAAAGTTTTGTGACTCGATGTTTTCCTGGCAACATTTCAGCAGTGTTGCGCGCGCGCGTCGGCGCGCATATTATCAGCTACAGCAGCTGTTAAAAATATTATTTTGTTCTGTCTTGACCGATCAGTAATTTTAAACTTGCATTTTAAATCAATATAAGAAGCATATCCCGCTTTTCAGTAAGTTTTTATTCTGGTTTAACGAAATACCTTATAGTTTCTAAATAAGATCCAATAGAGTATTTTAGCATATTCCATACCACCTGGGGACCCCAGTCTTTACTGTTTATAGGCATGCAGATATGGCGGAGTGACAGGCCGAGCGCCGCCCAGTTGATATAATTCCATATTGAATTTGAAAATCGTGTATATTTCTATGTAACCATATGTTTATTGTTTATGCAACCTGACACGGTTCTGTGCAAAATAGTAATCCTAACTCAAAATAATAATACCTTACGAGACATATTTATATGGTACGAAATTTGGGGATTTTTGGAAAAAATGGGAAAAAATCCCCATATTTTCGTACTGAATTTCTGAAATTTCGTACTGAATTACTGTATTTCTGAAAAAAATCCCCATATTTTCGTGCCCCCATAATTTCGATCCCCGCTAATTATGATCCACATAAATATGTCTTGTAAGGTAATATGCTATCAATTAGTCCCTAGCGGGATGCGTGCATGGTGAAATTAACAATGTACTTGAACATTTCAGCACCGCGCGCCAACAATTGTTTAATTCAGATTATCGCGCAAAATAACTTTGTGCAGGCAGACACGTACGCTCGCACGCTCGCACGGACGCAAGCTACCATATACAAAAAAAAACCTCGTTCGCTAACCCTTGTTCTTGACTCTTTTGTGCCTTCGGCACTTTGAGTCATGGATCGGGAAAAAATTGCCTAACACATCGGGATCAGCACTTGACATTTTAGCAACCGATTTTTCTAGTTTTCTAACGATCAATTAGTACCACAATTTTGATTTTACCAACATTATAACACATGGAAGGTAGTCCAAATTTGAAACACACAAGGAAATATTTTCACTCTGTATAATTACAGCGGAGTCATGGTACGAGGGTCCGGAGGGCGGTGGGACTTGCGCAAGTCTCAACCTTACGACGCCTACAATCTCGTAGACTTCGACGTGCCAGTCGGAAGGCACGGGGATGTATATGATAGGTACATGTGCAGAATGGAGGAAATGAGACAGAGTATGCGAATCATGCACCAGGTACGTTCAAGTTTCGTGAGTTTGAATTAGTCTTAATTAAATTAAATTTGTTTACAATAATCTCATATTTTGTCATCAGGTATTTCTGTTTCTATTCTAGTATTCTATATCTTTAGAGTTAAAGTGTTCCTATTATTAGTCTAAGGGGGAAATTTTTGACACGATCCGTCACAGATTAGGGGGAGAGTAGCTCAATTTTGGCAAGCTTTCTTCATCATTGTGCCCCTCACAGAAATGCCCAAATTTGGTTTGGGTTTTTAATAGCACAATATGTATGATTTGTTAATCTTTAGATCTGTTTAACGTCAATATGGCACTCGATGCAAGGGGGGATTGAAAGAGCTAAAGACGTTGACTATCTTATATTTTCATCATCACATCAAAATCACAACTAAGCCTTCTGATATCAGGGGTCCCACGGTGACCAGATCCTATCACCAATCAGTCCACCCGCACTGGTAATTCGCAAAATCATGAGAAACATTACAATGACTCGTGGAATTGATGCTTGACACTCTAGTACTACTTGACTTATCAAAGTTAAATTTAATTGTTGGATCACCAACAAAAAGAGACTTAAGAACAAACAATATGGTTACAACAACAACTGTGTGAAGTTCAGCTCACAATGACTAATTAGCAACAAATCCACGGAAGCAAATATGTTACAACAATTATCCGTCTTGAACACGAAAACATAGCTCAAAAGTAAGGGGGAAAATACTTTTGTCCGTATTTAAAATAAGTTATGCGTAATTTTTACCGTAATTAAATAATGAATAATCAACGGGATCATTTGATGATACTTCATCAGTTCATTTTATAGCACGGCCGCAAAAATCTGACCCCTAAAATCTCGAAATTGCAATAAAATCACACTTCAAAAACTCAAAATTCAGAAGTCAGCACTTCGCGGCTGTGGTATAGTTTACATTATAGGTTTAAATAAGTCAATTAAATTAGTCAATATGAGTCTAAGTAGCGCAGCTTCATGAGTGTCTCAGAGTGTTGATTGAGACCTGGGCGTGGATCAGCAGTAAGGTGAGAGAAATACTGTGGGTATCAGCACCGGATAATGCACTTCATCATCTGGTCCAGACGGGAGCTGTCTTTCTTGGAGACGTACGCGGAGTAGCACTTATTTACACATCTGGAGGGTTGTGGTGTTACACGTGGTTTAATCACGTGGTATCTTGTCACGTGGTATGTTATCTTGTCACGTGGTATGTTATATTGTCACGTGGTATGTTACCTTGTCACGTGGTATGTTATCTGGTCACGTGGTATGTTATCTTGTCACGTGGTATGTTATCTTGTCACGTGGTATGTTATCTTGTCACGTGGTATGTTATCTTGTCACGTGGTATGATATCTTGTCACGTGGTATGTTATCTTGTCACGTGTTATGTTATCTTGTCACGTGTTATGTTATCTTGTCACGTGGTATGTTATCTTGTCACGTGGTATGTTATCTTGTCACGTGGTATGTTATCGTGTCACGTGGTATGGTATCTTGTCACGTGGTATGTTATCTTGTCGCGTGGTATGTTATCTTGTCACGTGGTATGTTATCTTGTCACGTGGTATGATATCTTGTCACGTGGTATGTTATCTTGTCACGTGTTATGTTATCTTGTCACGTGTTATGTTATCTTGTCACGTGGTATGTTATCTTGTCACGTGGTATGTTATCTTGTCACGTGGTATGTTATCTTGCCACGTGGTATGTTATCTTGTCACGTGGTATGTTATCTTGTCACGTGGTATGTTATCTTGTCACGTGGTACGTTATCTTGTCACATCTACAAGGAAATCGTCAGTGGATTATATGTTTAAATTTTGCTATATCATGAGGGTATATGAGGGTTATCACTTACTGAAAGTCAATGGATTGGTTGCCATAGTAACTGCGTATCTGTCGGCTTAGTGCCACATCCACTGCCGGACTACTCCTTGTCATACTGATCAGTAACAACACTGTCACGAGCATCAATGTTATCTGTCTTGACATTACTGGCTGCAGTGATTACGGTAATTAGATAATGCAAATGAGGCTGCAGTAAAACATGATGCAGCAAATCCTGGATAAAATAAGAAAAAGAAAATAATACATTTTGTCAACCATTTTGATCAAATACAAGCTATGTACGTGTTTTCATTCAAACATGATTCGGGCCACTATTCGAATGAAATAATTTAACGGCGCCAGCATTGATTACATTCCAACTACCGGTTGATAACCGTTTGAAATCTTCATAACCGGCAGTTGGACCCCGAAAAGCAGGAAAACTCCGGAATTAATCCTCATAAAAAAGGAGTCTGACCAGGTTTACACCATGACCGGTTAATTTATCTAAATCCCACGTTTATTTAAAACACGTGACCTATCTCCTGTTTTATCTCGATGTTTTCTTTATATATTAAATTAAACCTAACCCCGCTAGGCGCTTAAACCCTAACCATACTGGGGCACGACGTCCTCGAGCTGGGTGATGGACGTGGCCTTGAGCTGGGTGATGGACGTGACCTTGAGCTGGGTGATGGACATGACCTTCCTAATTGGACGGAAAACAATTCATAGTTCAAATACTCTCATGATATTCTTTTCTGTAGACCTCCGATCACAGGACGAAAATTAAATTGAAACGTGTGCGGAGTATGTTATCGGTTATTTACCACCCTATTGAACAGCTTATACAATCGTACAGAATTTAATGTTGCATGCTATTTATCCGGGACTTATACAATTAAACAACAAAATTATATAAAACTATACGTATTACTAGATACTGATTGTTTTTTTACGCCCTCAGCTGTAAAAGAAAGAACTAAGTATTTCGAGCACCTATGATAATAATATCTATTATTCATCAATCGCACCTATATTAGCAGATTTCTTTCACAATATCTTAACATTATCTGAAATAAACAATTATCACAAGGTGATGTGTCATGTGACACCTTGTAATAATTGAATGTTGCCACCCTTCATGTCAAATAATGCAAGATATTGTGCAAGAAATCTACTAATATTGGTGCGATTGATAAATAATAGATAAAATTATCTGCTCGAAATGTGTTCTTGCTGGGCGCTGGCACAACAGCTTACGACTTCAGACCTAATAAATGTTTTATTAAAATGAACGTGTAGTTTAATAAAATATAAAGTGTTGGTCCACCTCATACGTTAGTAAGGAGTACTAGTAGGCACAAGCTAGGAAATTTGGAGTCCCAAACTGTTCAATAATGTGGTAAATAATCGATAACATACTCCACATACGTATAAGTTAATTTTCGTCCGGTGATCGGGGGTCTACAGAAAAGAATATTATGATACTACTAGTGAAACCCGTGCCTACGGCCGGGACTTCATTATTGCAGTTGAAATGCAAAAGTTTAAACGGTGCAAAAGCATGAACTCGCTCAGTCGAAACCGGCCGCATCATACTCAATTTAATTCTGAGTGCCCCTCACGTATCCAATAGTTAAGTAGTTATACTTCACAGGCAATCTTGTGGCTCTACCTACTGCCAAACTACCTAATTATGTATCAAAGCTGTAATTAGGGGAGCTGTTAATGAGTAAATACTAAATAGGGAGAGAGTGTGTGAGAGGGAGAAAAATTGAGACACTTTAGTATCACATTTGGGGTACAAAACCATCAATTAAGATGGTTCACCCTGATTTTTTTTGTGAAATTTTATTTCGAGATAGCAATTGACCAACAAACTTGGGCATGTGACTGAACTTTTGAGGGGGTTCCGGACTCTGGGTGCCCGCTGGACAGCCACCCCCATCTTTGGTCCCAATCATGCCAAATCATCTTAAAATGCTCAAACCCAGATTAGTTCCCTGAACTCGTATATAATTTTATGAGCCAAAAACCATATACCCATATTTGGTCATACGCAGGTCAAATTTGATCGATTTTGCCTGGATAAATTGGTCAAATATCAATATTTTTGAATGAAACCAACTTTATAGAAAAGGTAAGCCTAAACTGCACAGTCTCTATGATTATGAGCTCAATATCTACCTAAGCAAACTGTGGATTCTGTGTTCAAATAATCGCAAAAAATTAACAAAATTGCCCATAACTCAGTTCGTGATATTCGCGAAACTGATTTCACTCAAAACAATAGAACTCAATAGGGTTTCATTATTTTTTCATGAAACTTTCAAAGGGGGTAATGCAACGACCATTAATGTCAGTATTTGAGATTTTTCCGAAACTGACATTGTCATTAATGGTCATTAATGGTCATTAATGGTCATTAATGGTCATTAATGGTCATTAATGGTCATTAATGGTCATTAATGGTCATAAGATATCTCAAATTTTGAAATATCTGGCAGTAACCTTGACTAATTGAGGGGAGAAATCATGTTTCGTTAGGAGATCAGCGGCTTAGGTCAATACAGATGAACGGATCAAAACAGCCAGTCAGAGCGAGCTGTCGAAGTTGGAGTACCCGCCAGTATTTTACTTCAACAAAACAGGAGACTTTCCCATGCAGGACATCTGTCATGAGTTGAAAAAACTGGTTAACTGTCTCCATTACCTCAGTACTAGATTCATCATAATGGCCGATTCTGATTCGATCGAAGACACGAAATTCACCCTAAACTGGGGGATGATTCTTAAACTCGCTACGGAAAGTGAAGAATTCAGAGACTCTGTATCCCTTACAACTCTGCAGCACTCTGATAGACAAAACCCGCAGTGTGCTGCAGAGCTAACGGCTAAATGGGATGTTCTAAAACAAGCAGGATTTCTGAGCCTCTCGGCCTATCTTAAGGCCGGGTTTTTGCTCCTGGCAGCGTTTTATGACAAATCGCTGACTGTTTCAGAAAGAGCTGAAAATGCGTGGACTGTTTTCACGTTCTTCACTCTGTGGGGAGAACACTCGAAGAAATTAAATACCAGCGAGAACTTCATAACTAGAGAAAGCTTCAAAGACTTAATATCCGCAGCTAACGGACTTGTCTTGTATTTTGTC